ATGCCCGACTGTTTTGGACGTAATATGGTCGGTGTTTACATTAGCATCGCTAACACTCAGAGCTAACCTGTACTGGAGAGCATGTGTGTGAAGAAGCAGGAAGTAAAAAGGAACTCACCTTGTGGTATAACCGGCAAGAGAGAAAGCCTTTGAGCTCCATACTGTTTCAGAGATAATCCTTGATAATCCATGATATGGCGTTTCATCACCGCAGTATCTGCCGGTAGAATGTCCCGCATGAGCAGGCATAAGCTCCGCCCCTCTTTTTGATCAACATTTTAAAAAAAAAAGCTTTATACCCCAAATCAGCACTTTTGAAACAGGAAGTGAAATAGAGGCATTTGAGGCATGGCTAGAATGGGTGATCTGTTTGGTATTTTGAGCAAAACACTTCATAGACATGTTTTTTATATATTTTTATATATCTGAGACCTATGCTATTGCCTAAGAATAGCATGATAGGTGCACTTTAACTAAGTTAGGAAAAACTTCAATAGAAACGTTGGATGAAAAAAAAAAAGACATTCAGTGCAGCCCAGATTTTCTTCTGACCAATGTAGTAATAAACAATTCTGCAAATGAACCTACGAGTAATTAACAGTTAACATTAGAGCGATATCAATTAAATCTTGTTTAATTCTCCCCAGGTGTGGTTCAGCACCTGCGCAACGGGCAGCTCCTCCACAAAGCCTACAGGCGGCACAGCTTCCCCCCCGCAGACTGGACGCCCCGCCAGGTGTGGCTGGAGACCACCGGTAAGAGCCGCACCCTGCAGAGCGGACTAGCCTTCCTCTACGGCCTGCTGCCGGACTTCGATTGGACGAAACTGAACGTCCGTCACCAGTGGAGCACGTTGTTCTGCGGCTCGGCGTGCGACTGCCCCGCCAGAAACAGACACCTGGAGGAGGAGCAGAGGAGACAGTACCGCCTCAGGGTGAGCGACACCCAGCTGGAGAGGACGTACGCTGACATGGCGCGCACTTTAGGTCTTCTAACCCGACAGCTGAGGGCCGCAAACCCCATCGACTCCCTGCTGTGCCACCTGTGCCACGGCATCTCTTTCCCATGTGTTCCTATGGGAGACGGGACATACGGATGCCTCACGATGGCTCAGTTTGCCGTCATTCGTCGACAGCAGCTAGACGATGAGGTGGATCGGAGACGAGTGGGGCTGTATCATAAATACGCCATCTTGGCCATGTACCCCTACCTCAATCGGACTGCCACAAAGATGGAGCGTGTCGCCAAGGACAACGAGGCGGGCAGAGCGCGGCGGGCAGGAGGCGAGGAGGTCTTCTCGCTGTCTTCAGCCCACGATGTTACCGTGGCGCCGCTGCTCAGCGCTTTGGGGCTCGAGGAGGCGCGATTCCCACGTTTTGCTGCACGATTAGTCTTTGAACTGTGGAAGAGTCCTCCGGCCGCGCAAGGACAACAGAAGAAGAAAGCCGGGAAAGGCGACAAGTCGAAGGTGAAAGACGGAGAAGTGTTCATCAGGGTGCTTTACAACGGCGAGGACGTGACATATCACACATCCTTCTGTCGCTCACACGTCACACGTAACACCAACCAGCCGCTCTGCCCTCTGAAGAACTTCCTGTCGTTTGTCAGGAGAGACATGTTCAGTGTGGTCAACGCCACGTCCTACCAGGAGGCGTGCTCCAAGCGCCCTGTTTGATGGAGAGGAGGGTGAAGGTTGTTTCACTTTTTTGCGTTTCGTTTTCCACTTTTGAAGACGGTGCACTTTTATGCTGCTCATACAATTCCTACATCTTTTTAAATGTATATAGCGGTACATTCCTGAGCACACACACAGTACTGTACATCACGTCTTTGTAAGATCGGTATCTAACCTTTTTTGGTCTGTTTTCCTAAGCGTCTCCGTAAGAGTCATTCAAGGGAAGTTGTATGGCACTTAGCCACTTTATTCCTATATTCCATATTACCATGGAATTCCAGTATTTCCCAAATGCTTGCAATAAAAAGGAATATTGAAACGGGAAATAATATGCTGAAATAATGATTCACGAGTAATATTTTGAGTACAATAAATCTTTTCAATGAAAATTACACTTTGGGCTAGTTACGGCCACATTACTCAATATGACTCATTTGTATTAGCATTCATTTTAATATTTATTCATTGCATTCTCTGTTTAATGATGAGGGTTATTTCTATACTTTGACACGTTGCTGTAGGTGATTTTTGTTTTCTTACATTTATTTACAACTGCAGAACTGAATCTGCATTCATATCAATTGGTGATTTAACAGATCCACTTTTTTTATTTGCTTGTAGTAAACTGAATCAAATAAAAGGTTCATTCTGCGCTGAAATGTTCAAATCAATTGCTGTAAAGTGGTTTCCTGGATCCTGGTGGTATGTTGGTATCAGAGGTGGGAAGTATTAAAGGGGACCTATCTTGCAAAATAAACTTTTTGATGTCTTTTATTCATAAATATGTGTCCCCGGTGTGTCAGGGAACTCACACAGCATCAGAAAACAAATTTGCTGCCGATATTACGTAATTTCCGATGGTGGACCCACAGAAAGTTGCTATCAGAAACTATGCCTGACGTGTTTTGGACGTGATCTCGTCTTTGTTTACATTAGCAAGCCTCACTAACACTCTTTGTGATATGGACCTTGAGTCTGAAATAAAGATTGAAAATCAACTCAGAGCTAACCTGTGCTGTAGAGTACGTGTTTAAAAAGCAGGAAATAAAAAAAGGAACTCACCTTGTGATAAACCCGCAGGAGAAAAAGCATTTGAGCTCCATACTGTTTCAGAAATAATCCTTGATGTGGTTTAGCACAGGATGGCGTTTTATCACAGCAGAATTTGACTTTATCTCCGGTAGAATTCTGATCAGGCATTAGCTCCGCCTCCTTTTTTTTTAAGTCTCAGGACCCAAAATCTGCGTTTCTCTAACAGGGCTGCAAAAGAGGGGTATGAGCAGTATGAGGCATGGCTACAATGGGTGAACTGTTTGGTAT